CTCTCTCTCTCTCTCTCTCTCTCTCTCTCTCTCTCTCGCTCTCGCTCTCGCTCTCGCTCTCGCTCTCTCTCTCTCTCTCTCCACCTGGAAGAGACCAGATGTTTTTAGATCCCCTCAGTGAACACAGGTTCAGCTTTGCGTGCTACCCTGCCTGACCTTCCCACGCCCTTGGTCTTGTGTGGGGTATAATAATACTCCCTTCTTCAGGCTGTGTTCCCCTCTATCCCATCTTTCTGCTGCTCATAATGGCCTGGACTGCTTGACTTTTGGGAGATGCTTTGGAACCCTAGGATTTCTTGTTTGGGGTTATTCTAGCTGCATTCCCTACAGGGCCCTGTCCCTCCTGGCCCCAACCCCATTCTAAGGTCTCTAGTTTTCTCTACTGGGTTGGTTCCTGGAACCAAGCCTGCCTAGAGCAAGCGGAAATCCCCAATCCATCCAGGCCCATCTGTGCCTCCAGGGGTGGCAACTCAATCCCAGGGCCCTGGTAGTCCCCCTCTGGTCATCCTATAACTCTTTCCCCTTTCCAGAACCATCTCCATCTCTGTCCTGCAATGTGGCTAAACCACTAACACGACAGCTAGGCACATGACTCCATTCTAGTCCTGTCCCTATCTTCCCACAGCCTACCTCACTTGAGATATAATTCACCGTTTGGCAGTCACTGTGGTCCTCCCAAGAGGCCACCTTAGCCCCCGACACTGTCACTGCCTCAATTTCACTACTGACCTCACTCACACCCCTCAGTCAGCTCCAGCTCTGTGGGTCTCCATTTTCTGGTGTGCCCCAGAACCTTTGCACAGGAATCCTTGCATGTGCACCAGACACAGACTGCATGCACCAGACACAGACTGCCAAAAGTGGCATTCCCTCTTGGACAAGTTTGTATTAAGTATGCTGTCCCCGGGCCTTCCCTGGACACCCTAATAAAGTAGCAGTCTCCTTACAGCTATGCCCCCTCTCTGCTGAGCCTGTACACTCTTGACATGTTTCACAGTGGCTTACTGGAGCTTCAGCTTGGAAGCACAGATACTCAAGAGCCATCTCCTGGGTTCTGACAGGGACTACATGCCATCATCAGGGTCCTCCTTGGGCAGCCCCACCTAGCCGGGTGGGGTCTCTGCCCAGACAGTCATAAGGCAGAGGCCTAATGAGGCTCAGTTTCCTTTAGTGTGTGTGTGTGTATTTTTATGTGTATTTCCATGGCAGTCTTTGTGTGTCGCCTGTATTTGTATGCCTCTGTCTGTGTATGTCTATGTTTGTGCACCTATGTGTCTGTGTCACTGTTTTTCTTTGTCTCCCATATGTGCCACCTGTGTACATGTATGTGTACACCTGTGTCTGTGTGTCTGAGTATGTCTATGTGCATCTGTGTGTGTATCTTTGTCACTGTTTTTCCTTGTGTTTCCTCACATGTGTGTGTGTGTGTGTTAAATTACTCCTCAACTCAGAGTAGCTGGGGCATACAGTGTGTCACGCCTCCCTCTGCGGGAAAGTTGTGTCTTCAGAGACCTTTTCTGCATGAGTCACCTTGGCCTTCCTGGGGCCTCTGGGTGGAGCCCTGAGAGCTAAGTCTCTCCTGACGTCTCCAAGAAGAGCAAGAAGAGCCTGCATCCTGGGAGAGGAAGGGCAGGGCCTAGCTAAAGAGAAGCCTGTTAGCAGACAGCAACAGGTGTTGCCGCAAAAGAAAAAAAATATAGCAGGCAGGCCCACAGCATACACTGGCTACTACACCCCGCTTCCCTATGGTAGGAGCCAGAGGGCCAGGAAATCCCCGAGGGAGCTATAGTGAATGGAGTGTCCGGGGTACCAGGAGACAACTGGGAGCCCCAGGCAAGCCCTCACACTGAGGACATTCGTCTAACCCCAGAGGTCCTAGGCCCTAGGTGCTTCCTTCCTAGTCCCACCTCAGGTCCACCATCTCCTGGACCGTCTGGAATGGGTCTACACACCAACTCATGGTCTGTGTGAGTGGGAGGAAGGATGAATGCAGTGTCTGTTTCCTCGGTGTAATGCTTCCTGGGGTGCACCTCTCTTTAGGCCCCATCCACCGCACTCTTGGGTTTCCCCGACACGGTCCAACACAGGCATCAGCTCCTGTTACAGCAGTATGGAACGCCACTCCTCTCTCCCTTCCCAGCGGCCTAGGAGGCACGTTTGCTAACCAGCTGTCTGCGATCCGCCTCTTCCCTAACAAGCAGCTAGTGGCCATCTATTGGATGTCGGCTACCATAGACTCATCGTTGGAGCTTCAGAAATAACATGCTGTACGCTCCATTCACAGAAAACTCAGGCTCGCTGAGAGCATTAGAGGGCCTGGGAGCACAGCCAGGAGAGCATGACAAAGAGGGGCTCCTTAGCGCACAGGCTCCGCCCCTCGGTCTCTTACGGAGGCAGCTGGGTTGGGCTGCTGTGGAAATATGCAGGTGCTTTAAGCCCGGAGGTCTGCTCAGCCTGTGATCTGTGTGTGACCCTCTCTCCCTTACCTTCCCAGAATTTTAGGCGGAAATTCCCATGGATTTCTATTTCCTACTGGGATTGGGGACCCAGAAGCCCGGTGGCCACAGAAGAGGCCACGTGGTAGAAGCAGATCTCCCTTAAGTGTGCACCCCGATTTAGCATCCCAGAGGGCAAGCAGTGAGACGTGTCCCGCCCACCGCCCGCGCATCCGCGCCTCTCAGCCAAGTCAGGCGCGGCGCTGCCAGGGTTAAGGCGCAGGCGTGTCCCCTGGGGTGGGGTGGGCCCGGCAGCCTTGCCGCGATTCTGGCGTCCCCTCGGATTGGGGCCCAACGCACTTCCCCGCCGTTTTCTCCGCCGCGTGGCAGCGTTGCCCCTTCGTCCTCCACTTAGCGGGCTGCGGGGACCGAGGTGCCAGGACACCGCCCGGAGGGGAGCTCATCCGGCTGCGCAGACGCCCCGCGGGCTCCGGGGAGGGACTTGGCCTGCTTTTTGGCCTCCACTCGCCGGGGAGGAGCCGCGCGGCTGCAGCTGGCGGCGCGCGGAGCTTCAGGGACACAGGCGACCAGGCCGAGAGCCGCGCGCGCAGAGCCGGAGTCCACGCTGCCTGCGGGTTCCCGGTCGGGCCTCTCGGGCTCCCAGCTCAGCGCAGAGGAGGCGCGGCGACACCGCGGGGCGCGGCCGAGGGGAGGAGAGAGCGGAGCGCGGGCGAGCGCCGAGCCGGCCGGGCCTCGCGGGGCCGCTGCTCCGCCAATCTGCGGGCGCTGACGCGGGGGGCGGTTCCACGGCGCTCGGATATCAGCTGGCCTGGCGCGGGGAGCGTGGAGCTCCGCCGTGCGGGCGCTGCGCTCCGGGTCGGCCCGCTGCACCTGCCAGATCGCGGCTTCGCCCCGCGCGCCCCCTCGCGCTCCCCTTCTCGTCCCAGTCTCTCCAGCCCGGCCTTCTAGCCGCAACCTGACAACGCGGAGAAGTAGCCTTGTCACCCGCCCAACACCCGGAGTGGCCCAGCGGGAGCTTTGCACTCTGGATCGGAACCCTTGCGCCCCGGCCAGGATGAACAGCCGCGCCTCTTGCCTACACGCCCAATGAGTGTGGTAGCCGTCCCGGAGACCTTCGTCCGCTGCTGTGTTCCCAGTCACTTCTGCCACCAAGTCCACAGACAAAGGCCACTGGCTGCCCCCCGAGATGGCCTGGAGAGCTGGTGCTTTGGTAGCGGGTGTCCTCCACGACGTCCGAGTCTGGGGACAGCCCCTGAGCTGGTAGCTGCTCGTGCGCTGAATGGACCTTGACCCGCGAGTCGTTGCCGGCTTGGTGCCAAGCTGAGGGGTGCCGGTGTAGCGCGCGTCCGGAACCCCCTAAGCACGCTGGCCTGCGCGGCCATGAAGATGATCCTGGTGCGCAGGTTTCGCGTGCTCATCCTAGTGGTGTTCCTACTGGCTTGCGCTTTGCACATTGCTGTTGACCTGCTACCCAAGCTGGACCGGCGCGCTGCGCGATCCACGGGGGAACCCGGCTGTTCCTGCGCTCAGCCGGCGGCAGAGGCAGCTGGCCCAGGCTGGGCCCAGGCGAGGAGCCGCCCGGGGGAGTCGGCCGGTGGCGACGCAGGCTGGCCCAACAAGCACACACTGCGCATCCTGCAAGACTTCAGCTCAGATCCAGCCTCTAACCTAACCTCCCACTCCTTGGAGAAGCTGCCTCCTGCAGCAGAGCCGGGTGATCACGCCCCACGGGGCCAGGAGCCCGGCTCCCCGCCACTCCGTGACCGTGCGCACCGCCCGCTGCTAAGAGACCCTGGGCCTCGGCCTCGGGTGCCGCCCCCTGACCCCAGCGGGGACGGATCGCTCTTAGCCAAGTTGTTTGAGCATCCACTCTACCAGGGTGCTGTGCCTCCTCTGACAGAGGACGACGTCCTGTTTAATGTGAACAGCGACATCAGGTTTAACCCCAAGGCAGCGGCAGAAAATCCAGACTGGTGAGCAGAGAATGAGAGGCGGGGGTGGGACTGGTACGGCCGCTCCTTCCGGGAATAAAGACACCCCCCTAGAATGCTATTTCACGGGCCAAGCATTTTGTGTACCGTTAGGAACCCTTAAAGGAGGCTGGGTAGGGACGCCTGGTGGGCGGGGCAGATGCGCCTCTTGCTCTGAGCCCTGCCTTTGTCTCCACAACGATTTCCTAGGGAGAAGGGCTGATGGGGTTTGGGAGGCCCCCAGTACCCTGGTGTGGGAAGCTGGCGGCCCACCAGGAGCCAGGGGAGCCCAGTGCTCCACCTACAAGGAAGCATGCTGGCCAGCCCTGGCGAAGGCTGAGGAAGCAGATGAATGAATATGTTGGGAGAGTCAGCCAGGGAGAGTGGGAGCCGCCTTCCCCTGGGAGGGGCTGGGCTGCTGGCTCTGAGACGGATGGGTGAGCTGTTCGGGGTGGACCCCTCAAGAAAGCCTGAATGTACCTAATAAGTCTTTTAAGTCCAATCACTGGGGACAAAAGCAGCTGAGAAGTGATGTTGGCAGTGTGGAGAGAGACCTCCTGGCAAAGACGTGAACCGGGCCACCCTGCCTGGCGCTGGGGAGGAAGACGAGCCATCCTGGAGTTATCTTCCAAGCTGCCCAGCTTTGTGTCCGCCCCCTCCCCCACGGCTGCACAGATCCAAATAAGCCCTGCAGAGTGAAATATTAACCACCAGCTGGCTAGAGCAAATAACCTGCAAAGGTTCCCCGGGCTGCCCGTCCAAAACAGCCTTAGAAATCCTTTCTCTCCCTGGAATGTGACCAGGCCCTGTGCCTTGGGCCTGCACATGGGAGCTGTTTGGTGGCTTCTGGGCTGTGCTGGCCAGAAACTATCCAGCAGAAACTACAGAGAGTGGTCAGGGTGTGGCTTCTTGGAGGACCCCAACCCCACTTTTTGCTTCTAGTGCAGGACAGACTGGAGTTGAGTCCTCACCTGTCAGTGAAGCAGAGCTAAAGTGGCCCCTCTTCCCCTCCAGCCTAGCAGACTCCCAGAGAATCTGCTCTTCCTCCAGACAACCCCATGGCCAGAGAAGGCAGGCAGCAGGTCTTATTCTGAACCTGGGCTGAAGTGACTGATTCCATAGTCCAGCCCTCCCCACCTATGGCTGCACTTGTTAAAATCAAATTTAGCCCCTTGCATCATCCTGCCCCTGGTCTTTGGAACAAAGGCAGCAAGCTGGGGAGGTTTCTGGCTGGCTGGGTGTGCCTACGACTTTCAGGCTGTCTGGTCCCAGGAAAAGCTGACAGTCCCTTCCCACACACTTCCAGTTGACATCATTCTTATGGGGGGCACTTTTGGTGACCCCAGGACAGAGGCGCGGGGATAGCGCTGACACTCTGGGTCTAGGCCAGTGGTAGTTAGGGTTGTCTGTGGCGTCTCTGGAGGGTAAATAGGAATTACAGGCCTCCAGGTGTATTATTAGGCAGTGGAACCACAGCCGGGGAGGAAAGTGCAGACAAGGCAGTGCACAGGCAGCTTTTAGTGAACCTGTACTTTGAGACCAGAGTCGCAAGCCCTGACCCTCAGGACCAGCTCCCCAGCATTCCTTGGCCTCTTGCCTCTCTGTTGACACTTGACTGTTGTCTGTCTTTGTTCCGTGTAGGCCACAGGAAGGTGCTGAAGGAGCAGAATTCTTGCCTACTGGCGAAGCAGCCGTGGACCTCTATCCTAACTGGCTCAAATTCCACATCGGCATCAACCGGTATGAGCTGTACTCCAGGCACAACCCGGCCATTGACGCGTTGTTGCAGGACCTCGGCTCTCAGAAGATCACCAGCGTCGGTAGGTAGCCACCTGCTTGCCCTTGGCGCAAGTGCATCTTGGTGTGGGCACAGCAGGGCTGTGCGGAGCTGGCTTCCTAGGCAGGTCACTGGCAAAGGAGCTGCTCTTTTGGGGGTGTCTAGGTGGTCATCTTGATGATCCAGGAGCCAGATGGATGCTTCGAGGTTCATTGCTGGCAAGTGTAGGTCATCACTTTGACCCCTGATAGGGTTATACACGCAGACATATAGGCCCTCCCTCCCCTGTAAAAGAATACCCTGCTGACCCACAGTGGCTGCCGCACCTCCTGCCAGCACCTGCGCGTGGGCCACCTTTCTTCCTCCTGCAGGGGCAGCTAGATTGCATGGCTCAGCCGGGGTGGATGTTCTGAACCAGCTCCCTTCAAAACTCAGTAGGGGTTCAGGGATCTCACCAGGTCAGGGGGGAGCAAAGCTGGAGCCTGGGTGTCCTGGATGGAGCGGTGTTTTAAAGGAACATCTCCAGGTTTTTGTGAAATCCAGTTTTCAGTTGCAGGAAAACAGCGTATCAGAGCAGTTTCTGAGCAGGTTTTGGACTGTTGTCAGGTTGTGAGTGGTTGATAGTCCCTGTGGCTGGAGAGGTGGCATAGGACAGGCTAAGGGCTGGGCTGTGCAGGGGTGGCCCTGGTGTGCCCAGCTGCACGTGCTTGGGTAGCCTGCCATGTGTCTTGAAAGCAGATCTGCTAACAGGCTCCCTCCGGTTATGGGCTCTGGGCCAATTGCTGACTTGGAGCAGTTAGAAGCTGCCTGCCTGCGGCAACCACCTCTTTAGAGGTGTCTGGGGCTCTGCTGATCAGCGTGCTGGGCTGTTGCCTGGTCGAAAAAGCCAGGACCCAGTTTCCCCAGGGTTTGGTCAACTCACTGAGTGAAAAGGATTAAGCTAATGGTCTTCCACCCTCCCTTCTTCCCCCAGAGAAATCCGAGTGCGCCCCCACCTGACCCTGCCATGCCCCGTGCGGAATCCAGAGGCTTCAGGATGAGTGAGGAATAGTCCTTGTTAGCACAGAGACTTTGCTTTAAAAGAGCCACAGTCCATGCCCCTTTCTCTTTGGAGTATAACTGTTGAAGAAAAACCCAAACTGGGCATGAAAGTGAAACCTGTCATCTAGCTATGCAGGAGGCTGAGACAGGAAAATTGAAAGTCCACGGCCAGCCTGGGTAACTTAACAAGACCCTTTCTTAAAACAGAAACAGAAAAGAGGACTGGAATGTAGCTTAGTAGTAGAATCCGCAGTGAGGGGTTGGGGGTGTGGCTCAAGTGTAGAGCACCTGCCTAGAATCCCCCAATGAGGGGTTAGGGGTGTGGCTCAAGTGTAGAGCACCTGCCTAGAATCCCCCAGTGAGGGGCTGGGGTGTGGCTCAGTGGGAGAGCAATTTCCTAGCACGCGGAAAGACCCAGTGGTGAGACCAGCTTCCAGAAGTACTGTTGCCTCTGTGAACCGTTCACCTGAGAAGTAAGGAACATGTACTGCAGTGACCTTGAAGAGGGTGACATCCTTAGGCTCGTGCAGGAACAAGCTTGAGTGCTATCTGATCCCCACAGCTGGCCAGCTGTTGTGGGGGCTTCGGTTGTTAGTCCCTATTATCACTGATACCGGTTCTATGCAAAGGTGAGGGGATCTATCCCAGGATCTCAGATCAAGGCAGACTGGGGTTGCAGGGCCTCACCAGAAGCTGTGCTCACCCCAAGGAACTTTGTTCATCTTCATGTGCTTAACTTTGAGCCCCCCCCTCATGGTCTGATTTACTTGGGAAGGATGGTGGTGCTAGGACCCCGACTTCACAGTAGGATGAACAGCTCTGTGGCTGATGAGGAAGCAGCCTAGACTTGACCTGTGCCTTGGTCTGGTGGGGCGTCCTGGAATCAGCCAATACCCTTCTAGGCCACGGGATGCTTGAGCGGATCCTACACTGATGTGCTAAACACAATGGCTGAGGTGGTTTTCATCCATTCCCAACATGGACGTGCTGGGTCCTTCATTCTGCAGGTGCCCAGCAGCTATCAGAAGGCAATCAGTAGAAATGGCCATCACCCAGGCAGACAAAGGACACTTACCCTGCCCCCCTCGCAGAGTGCTGAGGGATCCCAGCTGCACCAATCACTAGCCACAGTGACTTCAGTCAAACGGCTGCCTGGCAGCAAAATGTGATCCAACCCGAATGCATCTGGGAGTTGATACATAATGAGTTTGAGATCATTGTAAAAGGTGCCCTTTTCTCCCAAGGTGAGGTCATGCCTGCTTCGGGGCTGAGAGTGTTGGTTGTGAGGTTCTGACCCCCTAGTATTGGGGATCACTGCTAGCAGGGTATACGTCACTGGAATGCTTCCTTTCTGAGTCCACCAGTTCTGCTGCCCAGAAGGTTCAAAGATGTGACACCTGCCCCACAAATAGAGAAGGCTTTGGGGTATAAATAGGAGTCAGGGGCAAGAGCAGAACTGGACAGCAGCTACCTGGCGGATCTCCGTGTGGCAACAATGTTTCAAGACACACCAAGCCGCTTTGCCTAGGGACTTGGAGTCAAAACAGGTGCCTGTATCTTCTCAGGGTTGCTGAGTTTACACCTGCAGAAGTGGACCGGACATCTCGCTCCGCAGGGAGCATCCGGAGATGACTGGCCATGGCCACAGCACAATGCCCTGGAGACTGCACACTGCCCTGGAGGCTGCCTGTTGGAGGCAACTCCCTGCCGCCCTGGCTAACCTGACTCATCCCGAGCTGCTACAGAGGTTGTAGTGGGTGTAAAGGTCCAGCCAAAGTTTTGAGCATACATCTGGCTCCTTGAGACATAGTCTCTCCTGGGCATTCATCGTAGCGTAGCCACTGGGTAGGTGACAAGCTGGGTGCCCATAGGCAGGATTTGCTTCTGCCCAGGGCCTGGTGCTACCATGGCCTGGAGTCAAGTGGAACCTTCAAAAGCTAGTCCTGCCTTCCAACTTCCCCCCACAACTAGGGAAACTGAGGCTACAGAGAAGGAAGATTTGCTGGTGGGGTAGTATCCCCTTGTTTCTGACTCAAGCTTCCCTGGAGCCGACCAGTGATTACTTTATTTTTTATATTTTTAATTTTGTGTAAGTATATGTGAGGATGTCTGAGTAGCTGTGTTGTGTTTATTAGTGTCTGTGCACATGTGTGTATAGGTGTGAGTGCGTGTGTCTGCAGCTGTTTATGTGCCCGTGGTGTGAAGGTCTGAAGCTGGCATTAGTGTTTCAATTCTTTTTTTCATTTTTAACTTGTTGAGTCGGGGTCACTCACTGAATCTGGAGCATTCTGGTGCTAACTAGCCTAGCTAGCCAGCTTGCTCGGGGATTCCCTGTCCGCCTCATTAGGGCTAGGATTGCATGTGGCCACCACGTTTGTACAGCTTTTACTTGGGTTCTGGGGTTCCAAACTCTGGTCTGTGTGCTTGCACAGCAAACACATTGTCCACCGAGCCATCTCCCCAACCCCAGAAGTGGTGGCTTTAATCTTCAAGTTTTTCATCTCACTTTGAAATACGGAGCTGGGAAATAACTCTTGTGATGGAAAATGGTGCGGGGGGGGGGGGGTGTTCCACGCCCTCTTGGACCCGTTCCATCAAGTCTCGCCTGTTTAGAACCTCTTGCTCCTTTTCATGAGGCTCTGTGTGGCCCACAGAGCAGCTAGCCAAGGCCAATAGAGATTTATTTATAGCCAGGCTCCAGGCTGCCTGGTAAACGGGCCACTGCTACCTTTAAAGAGACTACACACATGGCCCGCCATGCCTTTGGCCGGCACCGGTGGTAATCAAATCGTGTACAATCATGGATACAAACGCTCTACACTTGAAATTACTCAGGGGAGAGAGAAGTCTCCCTGGGAGCAGAGGGTGAGGCAGCCTCTGGCCTGAGCAGAGATCTCTTAAGGTGGCTCCATCTAGGTCAGATCAAGGCCCGTGGTATCGAGAACAAGGCAGAACAAAAGAAAATAACTCCACCGGTCTGAAGTCCTTGTCACTAATTGATCTGCCGGAGGGAAAGAATGGATGGAGATGGAATCTGGAGAATTGGCTGCGAGCTTCAAGGAACAAAGGACCCGTGACTGGGGTGCCCCGGAAATACTGCCTATGAAGCGGGGAGGGGGGAGGGGGTGCGGGGACTTCTCATTCCTGTCTGATGAGACAGAGCTAGTGTAGTTCTCAAGAGGCAGTACCAGCCACAGCAGGGTTACAGGTCCTTGCCTCTCTGACTCAGGGCATGCATGTAGGGTGGGGGAAGAGGGTGACTGCGGTCACAGACCTCAGCAGTAGAGGGACGCCCTGAAATAACAAGGACCCCAAGATCAAATGCACCAAGTAAATGGCTATTGCCTGCTCAGTGCCATGGGTTGGAAGGTCAGGAGCCGAGGGTGGTCTCCAGTAGGGATTTGGGTTGTCCCATCCCACCCCACCCCTCCCTGTTTTCTCCTTGTGCAGCCAGGAAGCTGCAGGGATTGAGCCCAGCTCCCACTCACCGTCTTGGCTTTTGGCAAGCCAAGCTCCATCGGTGTATTTCTGGGCTTTCTTGTGACTGCCACTCTCAAAATAAAAGTGAGCTCCCTGAGAGGCGGCGTGACATAGTAACACCAGGCTGCAGGCCACTAGGGCAGAAGGTGCACCACGTGTGCCTGGTCTGAGCCAGTGATGGCCCCGAAGCCCGGAAAGCCTCTCAATGGGGCCAGAAGCTTGGAGACCTGGCTGCAGCCACCGTCAACGCCTGCTCGCTCAGATTGTCCAGCCCCTCGTGTCAGGGTGGGTGGCTGCAAGGCCAGGGTCAGCGACTCTGCCTCTGGCTGCCACATAAATGTACCCCATGCCCATTTCCTCATGGTAAAGATTGGCAGGTGGAAGGGGACTGTGGGTGCCCGGCGTCTGAGCCACAGGCATGCTTCTCCAGTTCAGTGACATGTGAGACAGGCCAGGAAAGGCTGAGTGACATTTTCTCTGAATGTGAGTCTTCCCTAGGGAGGCCTTCACTTACAATGCAAACACCTGCCTCCATTAATCTTCTAGAACAGCCCCTTAAAAGGCAGCAAGGGGTGTGTGGGTGTGAAAATATTCAAGCTACTGCCCCCAAACAGAATCAACAGTCCTCTCGCCTGGATGAGACGACCAAGGTCAAGCCCAGCAAAGGTGATGGTCCCCAAGGGCCACCAGTCAATATCTCAGGTGTGGCCCATTTCCTTAGTGCCCAATGGGGACAGCCTAGTACAGAAGCTGGGGGGTGTTTGCATCTGTTGCCCACCTAGACAGACACCCTGAGCCTTTGCTATAACACAAAACAGTCTGTGTCAGATATGTGGGGTCTGGGCTCTGACCAGAGAATACCCTCAGCCAGCTTCAGGCAGCTTGCAGGGCTAAGGGTGGGCTGAGTCAGGACAGAGCCTTACTTTTACAGTTTGTACCTCAGTCACCTCAGAGATCTGTGTTCTAGAGCTCCTGGTTTTTGCCTCCTTGGGAGGAACTGGCCATGTATGGCGTCAGGGCAACGGAGAGGCAGATGGGACCCCGTTAGGAAAAGACTGACTAGACTGGGAGGTAGCTAAGTGGGTAGCGTGCTTGACTAGCATGCTTAAAGCCCTGGGCTGTACCCAGCACTGCATAGACAGCACTGAGGACAGGCAGAGGCGAGAGGGTCACGAGTTCAAGGTCATCCTCAGCTATATAGCTAGTTTTCAGTTACGCAAGAGCCTGATCAAAGCAAGAAAAGCAGGTGGCAGGGGAGGAGCGGAGACAGACCTAGCTGACCAGATTAACACAATATTTTGCTATCTGAAAGCCTGGATTACAGACTTTAAAAAGAGCCTGGCCCAAGAAGGAACCATTAAACCCAGGAGTCTCTGTGATTAAGCGAAAATGGGTCGTACACGGAGACTTGATGGTGCCACCAACTTTTTAATCACTTCCTTCTTTTCCGCTCTACCAGAAACGCGGTGGATGTTCCTTGTGCAAATTTAGAAAGCACAGATAAGGAAAAACAGAAAATTAAAATCCCCTGCCAGGCTCCCGAGGGAGAGGTGCAGGCTCGTTGCTGGTCTGTGTATCAGGGCTGAAAAACCCATGTGTCCCTGTCTTCAGGGGGAAAATGAGCTTCCTGAAGCATGAATGTTTCATAAGCTGCTTGCTCAATAGTCAAACCGTAAGCACTTTGCTGTGTCACTCAGAAGGAAGGCAGGGTGGTAGTCACACCTGCCCTCACTGCTGTGGTTGCATCCCGAGTTTGAAAGGAGCATGACGTGTGTAATGGCCCGGGGAGGACACAATCTTGTACCAGCCACTCTGGTCCTGCGGAGCCCAAAGTCAGTCTTAAGTCCCTAGTGCAGCCCGTCATACACAGCCTATAGCCAGGTCCTCTGCGAATACCAGCCGGGGGACTGTCCCCTCTGTATAGGTGAGTCCAGGCCACTGCTGTTCTTTGAGCCTGATCCTCTCCACAGCCTTGTGAAGGAGTATCATGTGACTTTCCCTGAGTATCATGTATCAACTAGGAGGAGGGGCCCTCATGAATCTTGCAAGTTTCAGGAACTTCCTAAGCCTTTTAAGTTTCTTTTACTTCCTAAATCTTCTTTTTATGATTTGTTTATTTATTATGTACACAGTGTTGTGCCTGCATGACAGAAGAGGACACCAGATCTCATAGGTGGTTGTGAGCCACCATGTGGTTGCTGGGAATTGAAGTCATAGCCTTTGGAAGAGCAGGCAGTACTCTTAACCTCTGAGTCATCTCTCCAACCCTGCTTCCTAAATCTTAATGAGCCTCCCACCAGGAGTAATATTGTTATTTGTTTGAGTTTTTTTTGACACAGGGCCCCATTATGTAGCCTTTGCCGTCCTGGAACTCACTGTGTAAACCAGGCTGGCTTCAAACTCAGAGAAATCCACCTGCCTCTGCCTCAGCCTCCCAAGTGCTGGAAATTAAAGCATGTGTAGCCACACCCAGCCAAGAAGAAATGTTTTAATTTGAAGGAAATATCTGCACAATGATAAGTAAGCATCTATGGCCCCGTTTTACAGAAAGGGAAATTGAGGCTGGAAAATTAAAGATTTCTTCCAGGATATTCAGCCTGGGGAAGCTAAGCAGACTTTAGTGTCTAGATCAGAATGGACCACCATGACCTTTCTTCCACTGAACATTTTTTTTTTTTTGAGGCAAGGTCTTACTATGTAACTTTGGGTAGCCTTGAATTCACTATGCAGACCAGACTAGCCTGGAACTCATAGAGATTTACCTGTCTCTGCCTCTGCTCTGAAGTACTTGGATTAAAGATGTGTGCCACTATGCCCAGCTCCACCAAACCTTCACACTTCCTGTTCTGTGGCATACACACACACACACACACACACACACACACACACACACACACGAGCCTCCCCTGACCCTGGTACCGACAGCCACAGTCCTCTGCCAGTCCTGTTATACCTGGGACCCAAATGGCAAGAGCATGTCCCCTGACTGTCACACCACCTGTTTTCAGATTCTAGAGACCCCTCTGCAGCCTTTCTGTTCTTTGCCTTCCTCACTACAACCCCCCAGGACCTACGTCTGCTCTTTTGTGACCAACCCTAGGCCTCTCTCCCCCAAGAGTGGCTCTCACAATGACCTCAGGCACAGCCTACATTGCCTCCTACACTAAGGAGTCTAAAGTTATCTTGCCCTTTGTAACTTCCTGTCTACCCGCGTGTCCAGTGTAGGCTCTGACTCCGTTACATCTGTGATGTTATCACTTGCTCTGAGCCTGCCAAGGATACGGGATGCCTCTGTACACACCAGGCAAGCTCCCATGTAGACGGGCTTGGCTACATTGTGCAGTGTGAAGGCCCCTTCGTGTCCTTGTGCCTTGAACAACCTGGGGGCCTTTGCCACAGCTGACCTGGATCAGAAAACCCCCCGTGGCTTTCCTTTCCCCACGTTCATCAACAAAAGAGAAATCCAAGGTTGGGGGAAGAAAGATTGTCTTGGAAATCCATCAGCTTTCTGATGTGGTGAAGTGCCAGAGCAGTGTGTCTTCTGGAACCTTCTGAAGCTGTCATATCCCTCCATGTCCTAATGATGTAGGAGCTTCTAACCTATAGGTATTTGGGGGTCTTCTCAGAGAGACCACTCAGACCTTCACTAAATCCTAGTAGCTTGCCTGTACCTAAACAAGCAGTGGTGTGTGTGTGTGTGTGTGTGTGTGTGTGTGTAGATGCAGGTGGATATTGAGGGTGTGTAAGTAAGGGGATGTTTATGTAGGAGTGGGGTGGGGGTATTTGTGGGTATGGAGGTCTTCATGGGGGCATAGGGTGTGTGTAGATGTGAGCATGTGTTTGTGTGAAGGTGTGCATGTGTGTGGCTGCACTCCTGGACTGGCAGGCAAGTACACCTGCCCATTCCCTGGGACCTTTGTGGGCTCACACTGTGGAGTTTGCTTACACCCGACTGCTGTATCAGAAGGGGCTCCAGCTAGCTGGGGTGCATTATTGCTGCAAACCCTATCTTCTCAGGCACAATGGGAGCCCCTCACCACTTGAAAAAGATCCGACTGGCTGGTGCCTAGAACCTTTGTCTGATTCTGCTGCCTGGGGGCAGTTGGGGGGCCTAAGGCAGCCACTGAGTCACCCTGTTTGTTCTTCCCTCCCTCCTGCAGCCATGAAGTCAGGGGGCACACAGCTGAAGCTCATCATGACCTTCCAGAATTACGGGCAGGCGCTATTCAAACCCATGAAGTAAGTGCCTGACACTAGGGTGGGCATGAGGCGGGGCCACCGTGTGCAGGCATAAGGCCGGGCTGGGAGGCAACATTTATCTGAGGGTGAAATGCAGTGGCTAAGTGAGTAGCCAGGCTGTCTGCACCCTCCTGGTCCCTCTCCAGCCTGAAGCCATCATTCCACACCTGGGGACGGTTGTCCATCTTGTTCTGGGAGGGTGAATGTTTGCATTTAACAAGGGGCTGGCAATGTGGGCATGTAAGGGACCCCTGGAGGGGAGACTGCATTTTTCTAACAGGCTCGGAAACTGTGGGGGACTCCACACAGGACTGGGGTTGCCATCTAGAGCTCTGCAGGTGGTATGGTCATTTCTCGGCCTGCTGTCCAGTCCAGGTGATCCGTGGGGAGCCTGTGCATCATAAAACTCCATCCTGAGGAGATAGCTTTATCAGTAAAGGGCTTGCCACAAGAGCGCGAGACAAGAATTTGATCTGCAGCACCCACGTAAAAAGCCAGGCATGGTATTGCACACCTGTAGTCAGTGCTGGGGTGGCAGCGACAGGAGGATGCCTGGCACTCACTGGCCAGTCAGTCTAACTGAATTGGTGGGCTCCGGGTTCGGTGATAGACCCTACCTCAACATATAAGATTGAGAGCATGCATGTGCACACATACAACTTCACCCTAACACAAAGCAGTGCTAGAGTGGGCTCGCTACCCCACGGAGCATCACAGAAGAGGTAGAAATCTCATCAACAGTACCAGTGAGGGAGCATTATGCAGCACGTGACCCGGCACACTCGGGAGTTACTAGAGCTTGTATCTCATTGCCACAGACCCTGCTCGGCCCAAGAGTTTGCATTTTGCGGCAGCCAGGCTATTGTGTTGCTCTTTACCGCATGGTTTGCAGCCGCAAAGGCTAAGGAGAACGTGCAAGTCGTGGAAGTGAGGCTGCTGGGTGCAGGTCCCCAGGGACCACCCAGCTGTGCTGACTGACCAGGTGTCCTCTTTCTGCCCTGATATTTCTACAAATCCAGCTTCCCCCCTTCCCGTTTAATCTTCAAATTTAAAATAAACGCTAAGTACTTCGGAAGCAGGGAAGGCGCTTTGCTCTTCCTGTTTGTCCCGTGTCCCCAGGAAGACCAGCATGGGTTCAGGGGAGAAAAGTGGACCTCCCTGGCTTCCCAAGAAGGACAGTGAGCCTGTTTATCTTCAGGAGCCCAGACCTGAGCACTACCCACTCCCACAGGCAAAGGAAAACCTGGTCCTAGGGTTTAAGCCAGGAAACAGTGAGCCCTCTGCCGCTGCCTGTGAGGTCGCATGGCCACGGGTGCCGCAAGACCGCGTGACTGAGCGCGCGTTTCTTCCCCTCTTCATGCAAGAAAGTGGTGTTTTCTGTGCCCCGCAAGCATCTGTCCTGTGCAGGGAGTGACGTCAGCTTGGCATGAGAAGAGTGGTGGGCTGGATGCCACCGCTTGGGAGTAGTATATGCAGTGAAGCATTGGATGTCCCTGCCCTGTAGGAACAAGCAGAGGGTCTCCAAATAGCCTGTAGCCTGTGTGGTCATCCCAGGATGTCCGAGAGGGCCAGATGCCAAGGAGGGCATGACTTCCTGTGATTTCTTAAGGGGGCTTTAGTGGAGATGGAATCTCACTGTATCCCAGACTAGCCTCCAAGTCAGCAATGCTCCTGCCTCAGGTTTCGCAGGGTGCTGACGTTACAGATGTGTACCTTCACATGTTGTGTGAAGGAGACTTGCTCCCTCTCCAATCTCTCCCTTCCTTCTTCCTTCCTCCCTCCTCTCCTCTTCCCATTTTTGCTCTCTTTTCTTGGGTAAATAATTTTATGAGCCTAGCCTGGCCTCAGATATGCTCTGTAGCTGAGGATAATCCTGAACTTCTGATCCTCTTTCTCCACATCCATAGTTCTGGGATTACAGGCATGTGCCACCACACCCCGTATATGCGGTGCTGAGGATGGAAGGAACCCAGGGCGTCATGCTAAGCAAGCGCTCTACCAACTGAACCACATTCTCGCGCTATTTTAAGGCCTCTGGTTTTCACAAGGACAGTGCCTTGAGAACCTGCCTGCATAAGACTAGGGCCAAGCCAGGTGACAAATAGATCAGGACAGCCTGCTGCTGGCCAAGATCTGGGGACAATAAATGAAAATGACATCTCCTTTTCAGTCAAGTTCTGTGGGCATGGGCTCTGTGAGGCAGGCTTGTGCTTCCTGTCTGAGAAGTGTGTGTTCAAGCCTGGCAGAAATCTATAGTCAAGTCCAGAGCTGTCCAGACAGGCTCCCCATGGCCCAGAGTTTCAGGACAGCAAACCCTGGGGATCCAGATGGCCTCCTCAGAGGAGATGGGGGTGGTTCTGGATTCTGGCTTGTGTTCTGACTCTGTGAGTAGCTGGAGGGAAAGGTATGTCCAGCTGTGGACAGCTGCAACCACAGCCATTCCCCGGAGCTCGAGTAGCCTGTGTCCCATGAAGAGGGAGGGGAATGGGTCTCTGCACTCAGGGTTTTGGTGTTTGGTTTCATCCCCACAGTAGAGTCTAAAGACACGCTGTTCATAACTACATACAAACAAGAAACCTGGGGTGCTGAGAGGTGGTATGGGTCCAGAGACCTATAAGGGGCCCCTAACCTGGTGGACACCATCTATCCCTGAGTGGTCACGTAAGGGACTGGGCGGAAGCCCCTTGGGATTCCTACTTCTCCAGTTTATCCAAGGCCTTGGAGAAAGGGCTTTTCAAGGCTGTGATTGGAGAAGGATAAAATAGTGTGGGAGGTATCAGTCGGGTCAGGGTGTTGCTGGGGAAACAGGTTAAGGAAACTAAGGCTCAGAAAGGGAAGGATGTATCTAAGACTAACCAAAGACAGAATCTGAGGCCAGCCTGAATTTTCTCTTCAGAATGGGCGGGGGGGGGGGGTGTGGGTGGGGTCCCCATGCCGGCAGGTGGCACAGTTTGCTGTAAACTTCCCACACTGTCTGTCTGGGTCTTTTACTGTTCCTCCATGGACCAGGTCCAGAAATTTCTGGGCACCTGAGACTCATCGACTCCAGTTATCTGGCAAAGCCACTGATGACCCTGATGACCTTGGGCAGGACCCGGGACCTGACACTGCTGCCCGTTTTGTCCTTGCTCCTCTGAGGCTATGGAATGATTACAGTTATGGTTCTTGACAATGGCCTTAAAAAGTCAAAACCCATGATAGGGAATGAGGAGAGAGCTCAGTCAGTAAGGTGCTTGCGGCACAAGTAAGAGAACCTAAGCCGGATCTCTAGAAGCCACGTAGAAAAAAAGTCAGGCTTAGTGGGGCGTGCCTGTCGTCCCAGCACTGGGGAAGTAGAAACAGGAGGATCTCCAGGACTCGCTGTCACGCAGTGTTAGGAGTACGTATGTTAGTAGACACTAAAAGACACATGCCCCACAGGCATGGCAGCTCACCGCTGTGGTCCCAGAACCTTGAAAGCTGAAGCAGGAGGATTGCTCTGAGTTTCGAGGCTAGTCTGGAATGTAGAATGAGTCTCTGTGGGAGGAGGGGGAGGAAAGGTAAGGGGAGAAGAGGAAGAGAAGGAAAGGAAGAAAGAAGGGAGGGACAAGGAGGAGAAAGGAGGAGGAGGAGGAGGAGGAGGAGGAGGAGGAGGAGGAAGAGGAGGAAGAGGAGGAGGAAGAGGAGGAGGGAGGGAGGAGAACACACAACCGGCACTGCAGCCCTTGAACTCTTGAGGAGGGGGTGGAGCTGACTTGCTTTTAAAGTAGCGGTTCTCAGCCTTCCTAATACTCCAACCCTTTAATACAGTTCCTCATGTGGTGGTGACCCCAACCAGAAAATTATTTTCATTGCTGCTTTATAACTGCAATTTTGCTAATGTTATAGATCATAATGTAAATATCTGTGTTCTCTGATAGTCTTAGGCGACCCCTTGTGAAAGGGTCATTCGACTCCCTCCTCCCACCCGAGGCATCATGGCCCACAGTTCGAGAACTCTTGCTTTAAAGTATTTAAGGTTTTTTTTATTAGTTAAAAAGTGGCTTTCCTGACGCCAGATGCACACCATGCCTTCCAAAACCACTCACTCAAGTGACTGACCAGCCCCACGAGCTTTCTGAGTTCTAAGAGGAAACTGTAAAAATCTAGCTGCCTCTCCCCACCCCTGCCCCGGCACCCGCACCCGACAACCACTAATCTCCCGTCTCGCTGTTTCACTGTCTCGCTTTGTGGATTTGCTTATTCTGGGTTTTCACAGGCCGAGGATCGTGTGGTGCATGGTACTTTCTGTCTGGCCTTCAGTGGTGACGTCCTTTCTAAGTTCATCCATGCTGGAGCGTGTGATAATACTTCCCTTCCTTTTTATTGATGAGTGATAGCCCATTGTGTGGATGGACCATGCCCTATTTATCCATCCATCTGCTGATGAGCGTGGATTGTTCTCATGGTCTGTAATGAAAAGTGCTGCTTTGAACTGTTGGATGCATGGATGTATTTTAGGGGGTTCATGTGGGAGTACATGTGTGTTGTGAGAATAATTTCCCTGGAGAGAGGTAAATAGTGGAGATGGTGACTTTTCCATAGCTTCACAGGTGGACCGCTCCTCTTCAGTTAACCTCCCCCATCCTATAGACAGTGGTTCTCAACCTGTGGGTCATGACCCCTTTGGGGGTCACATATCCTGCACTTCAGATAATTTACATTGTGATTCATAACAGCATCCACATTACAGTTGTGAAGTAGCAATAAATATAATTCTATGGTTGGGGGAATCTCCACAACATAAAGAACTGTATTAAAGGGCCACAGCATTACAAAGGTTCAGAGCCAATGCACCTCGCAGGCCCCAAGTGTCACATGCAATTAGGGCAGAATTTATAAAAATGCATGGGAGGAGCATTTGGATTCTCAGCTGAGGTTGCATGACCTTCCAAACCCACTCCTTCTCCAAGGGAGTATCAGTAGGTCTGCTCATAACAGGCTCTTGCAGCAGACAGCGCTGATCCAGTGTAAAATGGTAT